CCCCCAACCCATCAGCCAGGTAACAAGTAAACATAGAAGTCATATTACTTTTTCCAGGTGATCTTGAGTGTCTTGTTGTTGTTTCTGTGGGGAACGCTAAAGGAAAGTGACTGAGGATGTCTCCTTTACTTCATCCTCAGACCAAGAAGGGCTGGGCAGAGGGCTAGGGAGTTTTCGTTTTTCATTTCCTCCATGAGAGAGAGAGAAATTGGCGCCCCCAAGAAGGTCCCATCATGCCACAATCACCCCAGTCCTCCAGCCCGGCAGGATCATGGGCACGTGTGTTTGCACATGCCTGGTGTTTGGGTTGGCCTGGGACCCAGTCTGTAGTCCTCCATTTGACTCTAGCACCACCCCGTGTCATGCCCTGCTGCCTGTGCCACTGTGGCAGGGCAAAAATCAATCTTAAAAGAAGAGTTCTCAGGCCCTGTGGGGACACAAACTGACAAATTCTACTCCAACTCTGTTCACTGGTTTTCACTCACAGCTATAGAACCCAAAGCCCAAATCTGGAATCTCTGTAAAAAACAGCAACATAAGTGTCTAGAAATATAGTGTGAGAAAAGAGAACTATACTGTTAGCTTGTGATTTAGAACGGTATGTTCATATTCAACCAGGATTTACTGAGCACATGTTATGGGCCCAGTCCTGGCCTTAACAGAGAAGTTCCCCTCTCCCTGACACATTCTAGTGAGCTTTTTCAGTCTCTGATGCTTAAGAGTTGAGAGCAACCTTTGACCTCCCAGTAGACTCAAGCCCATGGAGGAGGATTGGCTTGTCTGAAATCAAAGAGAGAGCAGGTCAGGAACTATGCTTCCACTAGAGACAGTGACCTCAGGGCAGTGTGGCAAGGACTCAGTCAGGGTTGACTTCAGAAGACAGCAAAGAAAGAGAGCAGCAATAGAAACAACCATGCTGCATGCTATGTGAACTGGGGTCTCTTCAGATAAGGCCTTGCACCCCAGAACACTGCATTTTCCTTTGGCACTGGGGTCTCCAGGACCTTACTTCAGAGCCCCAAGTGGACAGAATCCCAGGATTGGCAGTGTGGACTCAGGGGACCCCAATGGGCTCTTAGCAATTCCTCTATCATGTCTCTGAGTTGGTTGGTTGTTTGATAGCTGGAGCCCAGGTCTACTTCTAGTTCTTGGTACCAGCTCTGAGGCACATACAGAGAGAAGGAATTGGAGGAAGGTTGGGGGAGAGAAAGACAGAGCAATCAT